TAAGATGAAAGTATCACAAAATTATTTGAATAAACCACATCGCATATATGGGGGGCGAATGTCCTAAAGAGGGGCGATATTCCTAGGGTATTTGTCCCACCCCCTGGGAGGCGATATTCCTAGGATATTCGCCCCCCGGAGGCAATATTCCTAGGAATATCGCCACGTTTTGAAGGGGGGGGGGTGGCGAATTTCCTGGGGGGGCGACCTTTTTAAAATTTCTATCTTGCCCCCCCCCAAATTTGAGTTTGGCCCTCAAATGCCCCCCCCCCCACACAAATTTGGAAACCTGGCGCCGCCACTGTCTGCAAGCGAGGTGGGTTCGTCATACAGCGCCACAACGAGCTGCGAGATCTTGAGGCTGATATGCTTAACATCGTCTGCAATGATGTCGAGGTTGAACCCGTTCTTCAAGAGTTAACTGGCGAGGTTTTACCAAGAGGAGCAAATACAGCATCCGACGCTCGCCTAGATATCCACGCTCGAGGGTTTTGGGAGAAACAAAGGTCCGCGTTCTTTGAAGTTAGGGTTTGTCACCCCAACGCGGAATCCTACAAAGACCTGAGCCCTCAACAGATATACAGGCGACATGAAAACGAGAAGAAGAGGATGTATGGCCAAAGAGTGATGGAGATAGAACACGGAACGTTTACACCATTAGTATTTACAACGACTGGAGGCATGAGTGAAGAGTGCAAGAGGTATCATAGCAGATTGGCCGAGCTCATAGCAGCGAAGAAAGGCGAAGACTACTCTACGACCATGTCCAGGATACTAGCCAAGGTCTCCTTTGCCATCTTGCGGTCAGCTCTACTTTGTCTCAGAGGGACTAGAGCACCCAGGAGGATAACAACGAACGTTCAAGAAACGAACTTCGAAGTAGACAATTCTCGGGCCAAAATTTAGGCTTAGACTTTTATCATAAATTCTTACTATAACATATACTATAACATACTACAACAATTTAGACTCACTTCCTTGTATATACTAGTAATTAGTTATTAATGTAGTAGGATTATTTTATAAATAAATTATTATTATTATTATTAAAAAAAATAAATTATTATTATTATTATTATTATTATTATTATAATAATAATAATAATAATAAAGGAGCGCGAGGATTAAAGATGCATCAACGCAGTTGTAGAGTTATTCAAGGTCTAGACAGTGAATTCCGTACAGACCTGGAGGAACAAAACAATTCTGACACGGAAAATATACCTGAAATGGACCAATCGACTATCAACGAAACTCCTACGGTTGAAAAGGAAGATATTGCGAATTTAAGAAAAGGTATTAAACTCCATAAAAGCAATTCCGAATGGTCCACGGCCAACGAACATTTCAAATTCGCTCTTCAGTCCAATGATCCAATCACATCACAAGATTTAAATTCCAACATAAAACTATTAAATAACATCATATACGATTACTTCGCCCAAAACTTTGGTTATAGCGAATCAGTGCCTGACAATTCGCTACTAAATAAATATAAGGACTATGAAATCAAGGATTTGAAAAAAGCTCTGAAAATCCTTAAATCAACGAATGGTGAACTAGACGAAATTAAATATGTGTCGCATATATTGCGTGATAAGCTTCGCTCAAACAATAACAATGAGTCAAGTCTAGACAGCAGCCAGTCACTTAACCATGACAAATATATCGGGAAAAATTTCTGGGGTTATATCAAGAATATTCTAAGGAAGAAAGACACTGTATTACCATCTTTCAACATGACGCAATGCCTTTCCCACTTCACTAAGACCCTTGCTGCAATTCATCCAAACAAATTGTTCAATATTCCTAGCTGGATTCCTGCGTTGTCTGACCCTGAAATTCAATTTGACCTTGACCCCCCATCGCATCAACAAATCACGAATATAATACGCAGAACGAAGGCATCTGGCTCTCCATGTCCCCCTTGATCAGCTATCTATTATATGTTTTAAACGCTGTCCTTTCCTAAGAACATATTTAACTGACCTTATTCGTGCTGTGTGGCTATCTGGAACCATCCCTTCAGAATGGAAGAAAGCTTGCACAATACTAATCCATAAAAAAGGCGATACTAATACCCCGTCCAATTTCCGACCCATCACACTGGAGACCATACCATTAAAAGTATTCACTTCCTGCCTACGTAACGCTATCTATTCATTCCTAACCGTTAATAACTTTATAGAACATAATATTCAAAAAGGATTCACACCTAACATGTCTGGCACCTTAGAACATACTGCACAAATGGCCAATATAATCAAACAACGCTCAAATGGCCCGAATCAAACAACGCTCACTAGTCATCACCCTACTTGACCTCAAGAATGCTTTTGGTGAAGTTCATCATAATCTGATCACATCCGTACTTGATTACCACCATATCCCTGAACATGTTAAATTGATAATTAAAAGTCTATATACCGATTTTAAAACTTCAATAATTACATCTGAATTCCGTACCCCCTTCATACCAGTTCGCCGTGGAGTATTGCAAGATGATTGCCTGAGTCCTCTTCTCTTCAACATGTGTTTCAACACCTTTATACAACACATAAAAACAGATAAATATCGTCAATTCGGCTTCTCCTTACAGTTTCTAAATCCCACCCACTGGTTTCAGTTTGCTGATGATGCCGCCGTCATAAGTAGTCAAGAATCCGAAAATCAACATCTTCTAAACCGGTTCTCCATTTGGTGCAAATGGTCCAACATGATTATTCGGGTTGATAATGTAGTACCTTTGGCATCAAAAAAGCTCTAACAAAATCAATCCAATACCTGCCTAAACTACTTATTAACAAGCAACTAATTCCAAAGATCAATATCGGTGAGGCTTTTCAATACTTAGGAAGATACTTTAGTTTTAATATGTCAGACGAACACCACAAGTCTGAACTAATCTCACTCGTTGAAGAACTAATGGCAGATATTGATTCCAAACCATTACATCCAAAAAATAAAAACCTGCTCTATACAGTCGATATCTTCTGTCAAAATTATCCTGGCATTTTACAGTTTCTAGCGTATCGAAAACGTGGGTCACCGAAAACATTGATTCCAAAGTCAACAGTTATATCCGTAAATGGCTTGATATACCTATATCTGGAACGCTAAGCACTGTTTTCCTAACCCGCAACAAGTTTGGCCTCAGTATTTGTCCCCCCTCTGTCAAATTTATTCAATGTCAAACTGTTCTCCGTAAAGCCCTAAAAACATCCCCAAACGAAGCAATTAACGATCTTTGGAAAGCAACTAGCAACAGCAAAAATATTCAGTATGACGTTTATAACTCCACTAAGCGAGTTCTCAAGGACTTTTGCTCTGGACAAGAGGATAAACTGCATACTCAATTAACCTGTCAAGGTTCTTTCTTCATTAATATAACAAAGTTCTCACTGTCCCAACTCACTAAAATTTGGTCTGCGTGCCAATCGAACCTTCCGAAAAATATATTCAACTTTACAGTTCGATACATCAATAACTCCCTTCCAACGCGCCAAAACCTTGCAAGATGGGGTTTATCACCAACTTCAGACTGTTCGCGATGTCTAGCTCCTGAAACACTTCTGCACGTAGTAGCTGGTTGCCAATCGTATCTAGAACGATTCACGTGGAGACATGACTCCGTTCTAAACTTTCTCGCAACAAGCCTGCAGACCGTAAGCGGCTCACATCTTTACGTGGATCTTCCAGGGTACAAAAGTCCATCAATCATCACTGGTGACAACTACCGTCCAGATTTTCTACTTTCAACCTCAACTGGAACACTCTATATTGTTGAACTTACAGTTGGCTTCGAATCAAATCTTCAAAAAAACGTTGAGCGTAAACAATCAAAATATAAAGAATTAATTAGGGAACAAAATAAACATTTCAACTCAGTAAAATTTGTAAATCTTTCGATTAGTTCTCTTGGTGTTTTCAGTAAAGAATGTTCTACTTTCATAGAAATGCTTAATGATTTTGGTTTTCAAAAGCAACATCAGAATTACTGTATTAGAAGAATGACGACGATTGCAATCCGAACAACGTATTATATATTTTGTTGTCGAAACAAGGAATGGATGAATCCGGAACTGTTAAGTGTTTAAACTTTGTACTGTCATTTTGTTATCTTAATAGTATAATTTTTGCATATATAATCAGTGATTTAAGTAGCCAGTTGTAAATTACCTGATATAAGTGAGATTTGCAATTGTATATATAAGCTAAATATCCATTTAATAAAGTTTTCATTATTATTATTATTATTATTTTCTGTTTAACATTCCCAGCTGGATACCAAAGTTATCTGATCCCGAAGTTCAATTCAACCTTGACCCCCCGACTTATCAACAAATTACTAATGTGATACGTAAAATGAAATCGTCTGGCTCTCCTTGCCCCCTTGATCAGCTTTCGATAATATGTTTTAAGCGATGTCCTTATCTGAGAACTTACCTCAGTGAACTAATTCATGAAGTTTGGCTGTCTGGATCTGTCCCGAATGAGTGGAAAAAAGCCTGTACTATATTAATACATAAGAAAGGTAACACTGATGATCCGTCAAATTTACGTCCCATAACACTTGAGTCTATACCATTAAAAGTATTTACATCTTGTCTTCGAAACGCAATATATTCCTTCCTCGCATCCAATAACTTTATCGAACATGGCATACAAAAGGGCTTCACCCCTAACCTATCTGGCACTCTAGAACACACTGCGCAAATGGCTGACATTATCAACAAAGCCCGGATCAGACAACGTGCTGTTGTCATCACCTTACTTGATCTGAAGAATGCTTTCGGCGAAGTCCAGAGGGCGAAGTCCATCATAATCTCATCCAATCAGTACTCGACTACCACCACATCCCAGAACACATAAAATTCGTTATAAAAAGTTTATACACTGAGTTCCAAACCTCAATAATTACCTCCGAATTCCGCACCCCTTTTATATCTGTTGGCCGTGGCGTATTGCAAGGAGATTGCCTCAGTCCTCTTCTTTTCAATATGTGCTTCAATACTTTTATCCAACATATCAAAGCTGAAAAGTACCGTCAGTTTGGCTTCTCCTTCAAGCTATTAAATCCTATCCACTGGTTCCAATTCGCTGATGACGCAGCCGTAATCACTGGCCAAGAATCTGAAAACCAGCACCTTCTAAATCGTTTTTCCATCTGGTGCCAATGGTCCAATATGATTATCAGAGTCGATAAATGTAGTACCTTTGGCATCAAGAAAGCCATCACAAAATCAGTCCAATATTTGCCGAAACTCATCATCAGCAATAATCTGATACCAACAGTAAAGATTGGAGAAGCATTTCAATATTTAGGATGTTACTTTGATTTTAACATGTCGAACGATAACCATAAGACTGAACTAACCACTCTCGTTAACGAACTAATGACTGATATTGACTCGAAGCCACTCCACCCAAGAAATAAGCTTCTCGTATACAGTCGTTATGTCTTATCCAAAATATCGTGGCATTTCACCATCGCAACACTTTCGAAAACATGGGTTATTGAAAATATTGATCCCGTAGTCAACCAGTACATCCGTAAATGGCTTGAAATTCCAATTTCAGGAACACTAAGTACTGTTTT